CCCAGTGCTTTTAGGATTCTGTTCTCTAACAGCATCACTAACAGATTCACTGTTCCAAGTGAAGAATTTTGATTACTCATCGCTAGGCAGGAGGTAGAAAAAACACATCATGACTTTCTAAACTAAATTTTCAAAGCTGATAATGAAAAAAAAAGAAATTGCAAACTGATAAAATCTGATATGAAAATGCTAAGATCAACCACATATTACAACTTACAGCTTCATAGGGCCATCTTCACAAAACTGCTACACTTTGAGAACAGGAATGTCTGCTGAGTAAAACAACCTAGCTCTACTTATTTCAGGAAACCTGTGGGGATTTTACACTTGGTTCTTCCATGTTTACTCAGATTTGTATTAGCTTACCCCATTCTCCCATATGCTTTGCTGTACTTTGGATCTATTGCTATGGCTCTCTCACAGTCCTTTATTGCTTCACGGTAGTTGTTGAGCTTACTTTGAGCAGCAGCCCTAAGAGAAGACAGGAAGGGAGAGAGCTTTGTCAAAAAAAACCCAAAACAATAAAATAAAAAAGCTCCAAGCTTAGATATTCACATGTCCATGACTAACTTTAGACTTGTTTAATCTTACTGATTTTTCATTCACTACTTAGGCAATCCCTCAACTTTCCTCAGCTAAGCAGGACAAGCAAATATTCTGAATTAATCTGTTCTTAAGTGCACCGCTAGACCAGAGATTTCGAGAACACACTCTCACCGGTGAAGACACAGAGGACAAACAGTTTTAAAGAACTGGTTTAGGTCCAGCATGTGACTATGCTCAAAATACATAAAACCTATTACAAGAAGTAAAGCTCTCAAGTAGCAGTTTACACAAAATAATTCAAGTAGAAGTGTTTTAGACAATTGGCTTTCTCCAGCAAGAAGTATAGTTTTGCTGCCATTCAAGGGAATGCTTTGAATTTTCCACGCTAAGTTTTTTAGCAGGCAACTCATGCTTGCAGGTAAATCTCTGAAATAATAAACTACAATTTCTTCTCTACACCAGAGAAATACTAGGTGTTGTAAGCATTTACACAACAAGATTAAAGACTTGCCCAAATTAAAAATCACATTGGAACAGATTAATAATCAAAGCATCCCCAGTTTGAAAGGTCTCAAAACACTGTAAGTTGTTCTTCCTTGATTAAAAAAAAAAACTATAGTAGAAATTGCAGTATTTCCATTGCATAAAGCATTCTTTTTTTATTAAGAATGCTAGATGCTACAGTCATCACTATATTCATCCTTCCTCCTGTGATAACCTCCAAATTGCGTGTTTTTTTCTGACCTTGCGTAAAATACTTTCTGAATGGGACTATTTAGATTTTTTTTTAAATATTTAGGGCCTCATAACAGTTGTCCAACTCCACAGATGCCAGTGAAGATGTGTATATATAAAAGCTGGGGACAATGCTTAGTCTCTCACATGTTTGAATAGAAAATGTTTTTTCCATGTTTACAAAAAAATTGAATGGCCAGATAAAACTTCAAAGGCATCCTGGGTCTCTCTTTTTCTCACTGCTGAGTGAAAAGCAACACAGTTGAAGGCAATCATCTCTATAATGGGCTTAAGCCCATTCTACTGAGGAAACGTTCAGTGATTTTGGGAAGCTTTTGAATCTGTCTTTTATCTCCCTTTTATACCTAAAATCACTTAAGTGATGAGTTTTCTCATGGAACATAAATTATTCACACTTTGATCTGCCATCTTGGAAATGTAACATATTAGTAGACTGCACATTTCCTTCCTCTTTATGCTTGCCATGAAGCACTGAAACTTCCACTTGTATTTATCACAAGCTAAACACTGGAGTAATGGAAGCACAGCTCCAAACCCAGAAAAATCCACTGGGTACAGTGCCATGAGGCCAGACTGACAGCACTTAAGTTAATATATCCTTCTGGTAACAGAGGCACTGAAGTGTGTAGAGCAGCGTGGCTCTAGAGGCAGGACAGTTCCAGAAGGGCTCAGGACTATGCTGCCTCTGCTCTTATGCTGGTCTCCTGGGCAGCACGCTGAGGAAGCTTACTTGTGCTACTTCTTTCCTGTTAACACACCCTCCAGCCTTCATCTGCTCCCATGTCACTGTGTCTTCATTATGCTGAAGAACAGATTACACAACAAAACTCTAACAGCCTTGTTATTTTTCAACAGGTCATGCATAAAAATGCTGAGTATCTATACAATGCTTGAAATATCCAAAAATGGTATTCCCATGTTGATATTTTTTCCAGGGAAGGTCAATACTAGGGGAAACAGACAGGCAGCTGAGTCACTACAACACCAGACAAAAAGGCTCTTACTGCTCTCAACAGACTGGGAATCACAGCCTATGTTACAATTTAATGCAGACAACCTAACTCTCAAAAACCTGATCTCAAATGTTATAATTAATTTTAAAGCCCATATTACACCTTTAACGGAAACAGGCTGAACAAGCTCACTTTTGCTTCAGATCTTTTATAAATTTAACCTGATAAATTTCTGAATAGTGGGGTTTCCTAGCCTCATGCTGTCTTGATATACTTCATCATTTGTCTCCAAATTAATGTTAATGAAGTTCAGGAATGAAAAGTGTCTATTATTTTGTTTTTACCTGTTGCAGTAATAGACTGCGTTGTTTGGATCCAATTCTATAGCCCTACTATAACAATCCACTGCAGCCCCATAATTTTCTTCCTTCATATGATTATTACCTGAAATAAATTATAAAAAGCTCTTAAGTAGTTAAAAGATACAGTGCTATGAATGAAAGAAATAGAGCAGCCATATTATAGCAATCTATGTAAGGTAGTTATGACTGCACTTTCTTAAGAGCTAATGAGCAACTTCAGCAATTAGGAAAACTTACTTTCAGAGCCAGTAACGGACAACATTCATGACTACAGGCAACCAGTTTTAAGGTAAGACAGACGAGGAACTCATTCTCAAAAACAGTAGAACTTTTTCCCCATCTTTATCCTGAAATCTTTGAGATGATGACAGCTGCCTTGCAATTAGAAACTTACTTTTCCAATAAAACTGAAATATCTGAAAATCCAACAGGTCATATAAAATGTAATTTATTAATTGCCACCTGATAACATTTCGCATCAGTTATCAGTGCCACATGCCTTTCTTCTTCCCCCTTCTTTTTTGGGGGAAATAAAATGGATTCCTTCTTGGGTAGTATTATCGAAGACTTCTATGGTACAGCTGCTTTTCCTCACATAACAGCAACAACATCTATCAAAAGGAAAATAAACAACTGGCTTTTCTGCCATTTTTATAAAGCACACAGATTACTTCACATCTGCAAAATACTAACCCTAGTAAGTTCACAGGAATTTTTCTATGGGCTTCAGCTGCGTCAGCCTTTTACCCATGTTTTAATAGTCAGCTAGCACATAATCCTTGGCATCACAAAACCTTTTTGATATAAAGTAGAAACTTCTATAGCAATTCCATGGACAAATACATTTATAATATACTGAACAAAAACTGTTCATTCTTTAAAGCTTCTACCACTCAGGAATGTTGCCAAGGACTTCACATGCTATTCTTTACTTTTTAAGCAACCTCCTGAGCCAGAGAATTGAATGTATTTCCTTAAACCCCATGTGAAGGAAATCACTTGTGCCTCTTACAACACAACCACCACCAGAGAAAGTAAGCTTAAGCTTTTCTGTGGGAAGTCTGTTGCACAGCTGCTATACTATCACTATCCATGATAAACCAAAAATCTTAATAAAAGCATAAGATGTTTATTCCTATGTTTATTACAAACCTTCATCCTTCAGTTGGTCAGCCTTTTCAACATCCTCTGGTAAATTATCTGAGAGAGGCAGCATGTCATTCTGCATGTAAAAAAAACCAATTTTTTTCATTAAAATATAAGGCCTGACTTTATTAAAAAATTCTTTCATCCTAGGCAGCACTGTATCAACAAGCAACCAGGTTTTCTGTAGTGTAGAGAAGTATGAAAGAACTAAACACCACTAAAGCCTCCTTAGAAAGATAGCTTGATTCCTATTACTAAAAACACTTATGGCTCACCACATGTTTTAAGGAAGCCAAAGGAAAGAGCACTGCTATGTCTCTTCATTCTTGGCTTTCCTACTTCTGAGTCTCCTATTTGCCATTTTGGTGGTTCCTGTGCTTCCTGTACTGGGGATGCCAGATAACACTTAGTATCAGCACAGATATTTGAAGTTTCATTTTAAGGTTAGTGTTCATGTTTTTTAAAACTGAACAACTAACTTATACCTAGAAGGGAGGGAGAAGCATCTGCAAACTACAAATGACCTCAAGCACTTCACAGATATTTACCTGCAGAAATTGCAACATGCTTAAATGAAGGATCAAATCCTGCATGTGAGAATGAGACATCTACTGCTTAGTCATTTTCTGTATGACTTGTCCTTGTCTAGATGAAATTGGTTCCTCTCACTGCCCCAAAAGATTCTCACTCTGCTAGCTTTTATGGAAATTTCACTTTTCTTAAGTTTCCACATTATTTTGACATGTGCAGCACTTTAAGGCTGTGTATACAATATGAAATCCTAGCAGCTACTGACAGAGAGACTCTAGAATCTAAATTAAATTCTTACCTTGTGAAAAGAATTTGTGAACATTTCTATTAAATGCTGTGGAGGTGCAAGATGAGTATCATCCAGGCTGATCTTAAACACAGTTTCCAGACACTGAATTGCAACTTACAAAGGGGAGACAAAAAAAAAAAGTCACCAGTGTTTCTATAGAAGCCTCATTTCAGTAGTTTTTCTATAAAGCTGTGACTCACTTCCTATTCAGTAAAAGCAGCTCTTCAGAACATATCCTAGAACAGAGGGAGGCTACTGGACCCCCACAGAATTGACTTGCTGAAAGCTAGTATAAGCTATACAGAACTCATACATAGTTCAGCCATTTTTAAACCAATTTAAAACTTTTGTTTCAATCCTTTCAATCACTGAATGTCTTTTGCAGAAACAATGTAAAAATGTGAAGATTTAACTGAAGCACCACAATTCATAATACGACTATGCATGTGTGATACATGGACCTCAAAACACCACAACTGCCATATATCTGTGTGGCATAATAGTCAGAAGAAAATGGCTTATCTTTACTGTAAGGAATAAAGGCAAGATATTTAGTACTCTTAACTGGTTTGGGAGCAAAATATATTCATTTGAAGACATTAAAATCCTTCATTAATCACAAGCCTTTATCTTACAAAGGATATCTATCTGCAGTATCCTTTCATGTGTTCTGTTATGTAAGGACTAAATGGCCCCACCAAACCTGCAATAATGCCAATACACCTGCAGTAGCCAGTTATAAAAGAAGTAGAGCCAAACAGTTAACTGAAGTTTTAAATGTGCTCACATAAATTTGCAAAAGAAAATCAATGGCAATTACTATATACAATTCTGTGTATATATATATTCAGTTAATTACAGTATCTCAAATTTTATCATTATTTTCTCTGCCATCTTGAGAATCGAACAGAATGGTTTTATTAAGGTATATCAAAAAGTTTTAGACTGAAAACTGAGAAGGAACAAAGAAAAGTTTTTGTAAAGTCTAGTTTGAACAGAAAAATGACACTTTTACTTGAAAATGCAGATAACCAGATGTAGCTGAATGCAAATTAAGTATCAGTAAAAACTGAATCTTAGAATTTAAATTGAAATTCAGTCCTATATTAATGTAATAAAGATAATTTGAATTCTTATTTGCATTATAAAGTATCTAAACACTGACCCCAAATTATAAAAGTAAAATTACTGAAAGTAAATAACAGTAACATCAGTGGGAGGAGCCTATTTTCTACATCACAGCTGGAAGAAAGGGGGAAGAAGTAGACTTGTAAAATAAACAGTAAAACCTGGAAGATGTAAATTTTTTTAAAACTCTGATAACATACAATAGAAATTACTCAAAAAAAGTCAGCTATAATACAAAATTAATGTGGATAACATGTAGCAATTGAATACATTACTACGTATGCATACAGCTTGCTCCTATAACCTATACATGCCAAAAATGTATCAATTTTCTGGGCTCTAAATTAGCCAACAAGAGTGTTAAAGGATTTGGGTTAAACTTTGTCTCCTGCTGTGTAGAAAACTTAAGTTCTTGCAAAGTAAGTACCGATTATGCTGAATTCTGAATTGCGTATTAATAGTACTTATTAACAGGCCTATCATAAAATCAGTGGCATTATGTAACCTTTTTTCCCCCCCTTATATGACTTAATAAAAAGCCACTTGCCATCGTATACTTACAAATGAAAGTGGTAGGCATATGCAAAGTTATTTTCACACAAAGGCATTCGCTTTCCCAAATGCCTCACACCATTTGTAGTTTTCCATAAGTTTAAAATATAGCCCACTCTCCTTTACCTTTATCAAAGCATTAAGTCTGTGACACCAACTCTATCATAAAGGAGATTTTTGCAAAGTGCAGCAGCATAAATTGCTCTTAAATTAATTCTGATCATAGTATTACTACTAGTAAGCACTCCCATAAAATAATCAGTTGTTTCAGTGATCTCCCACATTTCTCTTTGTAACTCAAAAATGGAATTTATAATCCTTATAATGTATCTATCACAGATAGAACAAAACCAGAGGCTCTCACGGGATGAATCCATAGGTTAGAATAAAAACCACTGGTTAACATGCAGGCCAACAACACAAACCTGTATAAACGTAAATGTAGACAAAACAGAAACTTTTCCAAATCAGAAAATGTATTAAGTTCTGACAGGATCAATAACTACCCTGTTTTAATGTGAGATCAGAACCTGACCCCAGAAAAGTTAAAGGCTTGAAGACTTGTTTTTGTCTGGAAAGTATCTCAAGAGACTTGGACTGCCAGCACCTCACCACCCCATTATCACAGTGAGGCCCTGTCAGCTGTGGCAAGCTCAGTATCTTCTGTGAGCTGGGAAAGGCTCGCTGCACCACGTAAGCTATTGATCTTAAGAATCCTCCCATGCCCAATTTCAAAGGCCAAAGTTACCTCTTCTCTGGCTCAGCACACCAAACTCGACAGAGCTCTTGGATTCTTTGCTGTCCAGGCCAGAGCTGCAGGCAACATCAAAGCATCCCAGCAGACATGCAGGCCATTGATCACTGAATAACGAAAATTAATGGGGCCACTGAGGCCCCTTTAGTACTCAGTATCTTCTTATTTCATCTTAAACATAACCTTCCTCATCTCAAGTATTACATGCTTCCCTTGCCTTACGGAGTGCATTCCATTGTTTTGGAAACACTGCCTTAAGAGAAATTCATTGCTATGCATTGATCTGTAGACATAAGGAAAAAATAGATAAATCACAGCCTTGTGTACATTGTAGAGAGGTTCTGCTTTAATCCCACACAAATAGGTGCTATAGACAAGGAAAAACACACAGAAACTGTAAACAGAAAAAAGAAATAACTCATTTAAAAACCTTGTCTAAAATAAAACTTGGAAGAAATGAAGTTTCTAGTTCACAGCACAAAGCTGAGCATTAACCACTACAGACATCACTGCTCTAGATCCCAGGATGTAGGGGAGTATATTTCTCTGGTCTACCTTCTGATTACTCTGCTTTCTTAAAGTAAGGCATTTTTATTCATCAGGTAAGTATGAAATCCCTTGAGGAAATTTACAGCATCACTGACATTGCTATATAATACAAACATGCAGAATGCATGTTATCAACATAAATGGACTTTGACTACATGCTAAACTTTCTATTTTGATAAAGTCTCAATTTTATCTCTCATATTCTAGCTCTTTTTGCCCTCCTCGACCCCCCTTTTTTTTCTGTGGGGAATGGGAACTGTCTAAATTAGTTCCTGACACAGACACTTAATCACTTAGTGTTTGATCTTTTCATAGACACCAAGTAGATATGTAAGGTACCAACAAAAAACGTTAGTCAAATCTGTTTATCCTGTGTGTCTTCACCTACCATTAAACACTTCAATGGGTGGGACTTGGGTGACTCTGCTACTCCACAGGCACGAAAGATATTTTGCACAACTAAAATGAGTCAATTATTCAGAACGCCTGCCTCCCATCCTCTAACACACAGCATATGGCACCATGCTTTTGGCAGGGTACAGCTCTAAAATTAGGATTTCATATCCGTATTAAAATGGTAAATTTTACATCAGTGTTTAAGCACAATTGAGGTTTTATAATATTTTTTGCTCAGAAAACAGTGTCTTAGAATTGATTCCTTCATGTAGACATAAGCTAAGACTGCTCTAAGACATGTCATCATGTAAATTTTCAGCCATAACCCAATGTTTCAGTTTTATTATGAAAACACAGGGAATACTATTTATCTCTCATTATGTGATTTCCAAAAACATTGCTTTCTTTCATCAGCTGAACATCAACCTAACCTGAATCAGGTTAAATTCATATATGACTATTACCTTTCAAATGTACAAAATGCTCCAGGTTCTTATGTAAAATCAAATCCCTTGGCTTTTATGCTTTAGGGAGTATCCTTTGAGTATCACGATACAAATGCTTCTTTCTTGCTTACGACAGTGAACAACTACACTGTAAAACCAGTAGATACCAGAAGGAAGCACACTCCAGGTTTCTAAGTTTATGCCTCTCAGAAGCTGGTCTTGCTTTGCAGCTCAGGGAATTCTACTGCCCATACCTCATATTTCAGGTAACTCATCAATCAGCTGGCTGGATGTTGCTCATTGCACTACTGCTCCTGGGCCTCTCCCTCTTACTTCAAAATTCCTCCTTCGGTAGGGTGATACATCCAAAGCCTGCCTACAACAGTGCAGTAGCCTTCAAAACAGATGCTATGAAAAGCTCATTACAGAATTAAGACTTTTTGTTATCCTCTCACTTAATTCCGCATTGTGATACCAGCCGCCATGAAGTCTCCAGGAATTAAGGAAAAGAAATAGGAGCAGTACAAAGGAGAAAGACAGATACTGTGATGTTACAGACTTAAAGAATGTCTGTCAACAAAGGAATACATAGAGAAATCCATCGTTCTGTATCTACTTCTACACATAGATGGACCTGGATGTGTAATACAAACTATACCATACGGAAAATACTCACCACTATACGCTCTTTGGAATCATTAGTTGAGGTAAAAATAAATGCAAAGCATTATTTTCTTTTCTGTATTCTTTGGAAATAAAGAACATAAGACAAAGAATATTCTCCTTCATAAATTACACAGAATTCTTGCAAGTAGGAAACAAGAGTTCTTCCCATATACCAAAGCAAATACACAGTAGTTGTTCTACTTCCTCCATGGCCAGCACACATATTACCAGACACAATGCAGAAAGAAACCAAACAAACACAAAGAGAAAAAGAATCAGCAGCAAAAATTTGTGGAACACATACACAAATCTTTACTGTGGTCTGCATTATAACACTGCTTAACTTGATCCGATGCGAAGTGTCTGCTGCTCAAAATAAAGGTTATATGCATTTTAACTCTGGAACATTTTTTAAGTTAGAGAAGTTTTAAAATAATCTCAGAAATGTTAAGATCATTATCTTATTCACAGACAAAATCTGGTGGCAGTTTCAGTTGGGTCATTCCAGTTACTTTCTATAATAATATACATCAAGGAATTTAACCCGTGTAGTGTTAAATACAGTACATATACACAGGTATCTTTATACATATATATACACACACACAGACACATACACATAAGCACCTTTTATCACTTACCTTCCAAGCTTTCCTGTTCATCCGGAGTGAAAGTATCCATCTGACTCTGTTCTCTCAAGAAGTGGATGACTGCATAAACCAAGCGTTTGACTGATGACATTTTGAAATTTATGAGTTTCTCCTATGCCTGAAAATTCAACAGGATTTCTTACTTCAGAAAAACAAATTACTAGAGTATTCCAACCTCCCACAGCCTCAGTAAGAAGCACACACAATACAGAATAGGTTATTCTTCACCAGAAAGCCAAATAAAGTGGTGCCTTGAAACAAGTAGTTGAATTGTATAGATTAGGGAAAAGTACAATCAGCTAGTCTAACCAAAAGAGCACCGATTTCCACAGATTTATTCCCATAGGAGGAGTTCATTGAGGCTAAAATAGTGTAATGATTTTTTTTTTTTTTAATAGGTTGGATTCTATTTTTAAGACACATGCACTTGGAAGCAGGAGCACATGCTGAAGTAAAACTCAATTTAAGAGCCGCACTGAAAAATTTCACACAAAGAAGCACGCTTTAATAAAAACTATTCTATTGCCTGACGTGGTGCCGCTGAACCATTTACAGTCGCTTTGGACAAAAAACTGGTACACGGTGACCTCAGTGCCCACTTGCGACGAGTGACACTGACGGCTCAGTCTGATTCGCACCCAGCATCAGCTGGCAGTTACGTAACTTTGAGGAAAATTTTAGCCCCAACTTTCCAAGTTATTTTTCCTTAAACCGTTTCGATTTAAAAGGGCGAAACCTCACGTGCCTCCAGCGGACACAGAGTAAGAAGGCGCGTTAAAGG